GCAGGAGCATTAGCTGAAGTACCTACTTGAAGATGGCGAAGCTGCTGTAAACGTGTCCATATACTCGAAGGCTCACGTACTTGCTGTGTATAAACAAGTATCGGTACGCAGCTCAGCCCGACGATTGAGGCAGTGGATCTGCAATGCCCCGCTATAATCACGACGCGCTAACCATTTGCGGACGGAAGGGGGCGTCATTCGCTGCAGCCGGTCGCTCAGGCCAAAAACCTTAGCCTGACTGGATCAGAAATGGGGGCAACGCAACACAGCAAGCAACACCAGCAAGAAGGAAGCAACGCAAGAAAAAAAGAGAAGAAGCACCAAAATTCGTGGAGGTCTCTGTCGGTACGTACTCTTAGATCTCACCTGCCTCCCACCACTCCTCTCCTCCCCCAACTCTCGTCCCCTGGCCCAGCCCGGACAGGGCAGCTTGAAAGCTGACGGGGAATCTTGGTACTTAAGGTACCTTACTTTACCCTCAGTTACCTAAGCTGGTAAGGTATCTTACCCTACGGCGGCCGTGCTCCAACTGGGCTTCGCTGCTACCGCCAACTGTGACTGGATCAACTGCCACAGACAATCTGACGGGACCCCAGCTGCCAGACACTCACTACCTACGTACCTCAGGTACCTGAGCAGGTACCTTGCCTAAAGGTCGGCTGCTCCTGCGCTTCCAGGTTGTGTGCTGCTCTGCTGGGCGCCTGGGCAAAAAACCTCCCTTTGAACTTTTCCCCCAGTGCCCCAGTGCAATTGCGTCTGCCTCTGCACAAACATTCCACATCCATCCACCATCCACACCTCGTCTTTCTCCCACCAACATCCACCACCACCCAAACCTCACTTGTCTCGTCTCGTCAGCCACGATCACGACGACGTCGTCTCTCCCACCTTGCGGCACCCTTTTCTTTTCCTACCTCTGTTTTTCTTCCTCTTCATCGGCAAGAGTTACGCAACTGAAGAAACCCCCACCAAAGCTGTCGTGTCGATACGGGACAGTGAATAATTGATTCCCTCCAATTTTCCCATCGTGGAAAACCCCTCCCCTCATACAAAGAAACCCAGCAATGTCTGAGGTACAGACTCGGCCTGCCGCCTCGCGCGGCAGAGGCTCTGCACGCGGTGGAAGAGGTGGTTTCGCCAGCCGGGGTGGTCGCACCTCGGGCAGACCCAATGGCGACAAGTTTGACTCCAACGCCGACGATGCGTTTGAGGACCAAGGCGAGCTCGGCGAGCTGAAGAAACAATACGGATCCAAGGCGCCCCTCATCAAGGAGCTCTTCCCCGATTGGTCTGAGCAGGATATTCTCTATGCTCTTCAAGAGACGGATGGTGATGAGAACCTAACCGTCACCCGCATTGCTGAAGGTATGTGAGCGCACGGCTTCTGCCTCGTCAGGCTCCCAGCCAAACTCTCTCCCGCGCGACGAATCAACGATCCATCAATTCCCCTCCTCTCCCCTCGACCGCTGCTCAACTGCATCGCTTTTCTTCTCTCAGCTAACCAAAGATTCTTGCTTCTAGGCACCATCTCCCAATGGGGCGAAGTCACGAAGAAGGCTCCCCGCTCCAAGGCCAAGGACTCTACGACCGCAGCCTCGAACATCGACTCATCCAACGCTAGACCCACTCGTGGCGGACGCAACGTCTCTGAGGCTGGTCGCGGTCGCGGAAGAACTGCTGAGAGAGGAGGTCGCGGTGGCCGGGGCAGGGCCTCAAACACAGTAGCTACTAATGGCTCTCGCCATAACAAGGAGAATGCTCAGCCGCTTTCTGTTCCTACCGAGGAGTCGAACGCATGGGATACCCCGAAGCTGGACGTTAAGGACGCACCCGCCGAGGACCCCTGGGCCCCCAAGGAGACGACCGAGAAGCCTGCAGCTCCCGCTCCCGCTCCCACTCCTGCGGCCGCCGCCGCTTCCACCGACGCACCCAAGCCTGCCGCTGCCGCTCCCAAGACGTGGGCTAGCATGCTCCGTCAATCCACCGTGCCCAAGGTTGCCCCGAAGCCGCCCAAGGAGGAGCCCGCGCCCAAGCCCGCCGAACCCATCGAACCTCTCCCTCCTGCCGTCCCTGCCGTCGAACCTACACCCGAACCTGAGCCCGAACCCGAGGCACAGCCTGAGCCTGCTGCCCCCGTCGAACTCCCTGTGGAACCCGCCCATGAAGAGCCAGCTCCTGCAGAAGTACCAACCGTCATCGAACCTGAAGTGGTTTTGCCGCCTTCCAAGGACCAACTTACTGAGACGAATCTTGAACAGGTAGTCGACGAATCGCATCCTCCCGCGACTGCTACCGTCGCAAGCACCGCCGCCGATTCCTGGGATCCTCGCCACAATGCCGCCAGCGCGACTGCGACACCTCTGTCTGCCTCCCAGCAGCAGCACCAGCCCATCCGCCCTGCTGTTCCCACTACTAACAGCGGCTTTGCCGCTTCCGCCATCAAGGCCACCACTGAGAGAGGAGCCCGCACCCCGAGCTACCAGCGTCGCGTTCTTGATCAGGAGGAGGCCGTCCGCATGCCTGGCAACCGTGAGGTTGACCGCGCTGCCGTCCAGTTCGGTGCTTTCAGCTTGAACGAGGATGATGACATTGACGGCGATCGTGAAGAGCCCGAGACCCGGACCCAACCCCCCGCTGATTCTCCCGTCGCTCACCCCCGAACCTCTCTTCCTCCCGCTCCTCAGCAGGCTCCTGTTCCCGAAGCCATCGGTACTCAGAAGCCTGCTCCTGGCCTGCCTCCTCCTGCTGCTGCCACTCCTACCGGTACACTTGCTTCAACCAGCAATGTCACCGACTTTGCTAATGCACCCTTCTCAGGACCCGCAAGCGCTGCTTCCCAGGCTCCCGCCGCTCAGGGTATGGCCTCCATGCCAGAGTCACACATTCTTACCTGTTCACAAATATTGACAAATGTTCCAGTCCCTCAACCTGCCGCTGCTGCCGCCCAGCCTTACTCCCGCTTCGGCCAGGCTGGCCCTCAGGAGCCCTCGTCCTTCCCCCAAAAGTCGATCGATCCTTTCACTCAGTCGAACAACCCCGCTGCCTCGCAGACCCAGTTCGACAGCTTCTCCAACCAGCAATCACAACAGAGCCAGCAGCCCGGTGGAGCCTTCAGCTCTGCTCCCAGCGACTACTCCTCTTACTACACGGCGGACCAACAAAACCGTCCCCCTTACAACTACTACAGCCAGCCCTACGGCCAGCAGGGAGCTCAGGGTCACCAGGACAACCTGTCTTCCCAGCAGAGATCTTTCGGTGGTTACAATGCTTCGCAGGCTGATAACTTGAGCCAGTACCCCCAGAGCGGCGGTCTGCAGAACCAGTCCCGTTACGGAGGTGTCACGAACGACGCCCAGAACAGCGGACACAGCACCCCGAACCCCACCGCCCAGAGCCAGCAGGCCGCCAGCCAGGCCTCGCAGCCTCAGTCTCACGGCCAACAAAGCTACCCCTACAACAACCACCCCTACTACAACAACGCTTACTACTCGAGCTACATGGGCTACGGAAACCACTACGGTCAGCAGGGAGGATATGGCGGTGCTCCGTACGGCGGCAACAAGGGATATGGCGGCCACCCCGGATACGGCATGTCGCCCCAGGGCCCCTACGACCACGCCTCGTCCCCTGCTGCTGGCTTCGGCCAGTCATCTCTGCACCGTGCCGATAGCGGTCTGAGCTCAGGACTTGGGGGTGACTTTGGTGGCCGCGCTGGTTCCGCCCAGTCCGGCAACCAGCCCGGCCTGGCCGGCAGTGGCTTCGGCGGTGTTCAGGACACCTTTGGCCGTGGCTCCTCTTCGTTCCAGAGCCCTGCTGGACAAGGATTTAACACCACCGCCCAGTCGAACGCTGCTTCTGCCAACGATGATTTGAAGCCTTTCGGTGAGAGCAAGCCCGGTGCCGGTCCTTCGCCTTCTCTCGGCGGCGCGCGCCCCGGCTCGGCCACGAACACCCCTTCGGGCCAGACTGGTCTCCCCCCGCCGCAGTCCGCCTCTCAGATGGGTGGCTACGGCGGTTACCCCAGCCATCTCCAGGGCCATAACCTGCACGGAAACAGTGCCTACGGCATGGGAGGCGCTTCTGGCGGTCAGCACGGCAGCGCTCCGTTCGGATCCTACGGTCAGCAGGGCGCTTACGGCAGTGGCTACTACGGTAGCGGCGGCCAGCAACAGCAGCGCGGCGGTTGGGGCGGAAACTACCATTAGGAAGGTAGTGGTCGTCGGCCATCTCACCCACGTCATTACGGTGGGATGAGGGGTGGCTAAGGCCTCGGTGCCCCCGAACACGTCGTTAACTGTTTACAAGACTCTCTCTCTCTTTGGGCCTGCAGATGGTTATAAGCTGCAGGTGGCAAGGATAATTCATGCGGTCTCTTTCTACGGGGAAACTTTCTTCTCTCTACTCATTACCCAAGTGTATGGTCTTCGAGCGTGTACGATCTATCAACAAAAAAAGAATCAGGGAGGGGAAACACTTTCGGATGGTCACCGGCCGCAACGGAATTGTGTTTTTTGTTTTCTTTTTCGCGATGGGAAGGTCTCATAAGGCTTTTCTAAGAATGATAGCCGGCGGCGTGGTGGTATGCGGCCTTGAAAATTCGATTGAAATGACAGATGGAACGGATCCGGTGGGAGGGTTGGTCGTTGGTCGTTGCCCGATGGAGGGCCAAATACTGAGATTGAACTCCTTGGAAAGGGAGCACGATAGCCAATGAAGACACATGGCACATGATGTTTTTGTCTTGCAAAAGACTCTTCTCGACTGATTGCGTGATGTGTGAGATGCTCTTCCTTTCAGACACGTTCAGCTAACCTCTTAGATACAGTCTTGAGATGTCCCTTGCGCCTCGTCCGGCATTCGCACCATGACCTTGCTACTACTTCCCTCGACCTTGATGATCGCGGAATCGGCAGTATGCAGTTGTGTACTCATCTCGTCTTCCCAGCCTGGTGGGGGGTGTTGAATGGCACTTATGGGAGGCATCATTGATTGGGGATTATGCTACTGATTTCCCCTATATGCAACCTTGTGTTTCTGTTTTCTACTAGCTGGCCTAGGAAACCTGCAGAGTCTCGAAGGCAAAGAACTCAACCAGTCTCGATGCCAGATATAACGAAGCCATGAATAGGAGGCTACTGATCTTAATCACGTCTTCAGGATTCAACTACTAGTATTCAGACCTTGCCTTCAACGACGTCCGCTCGCGTATATCTGCTATCCTCTGAGTTCTCTTCTGCTGCCTCGCGCCCTCTGTCTGTCTCCTTCCGGTCTTGCCTAGCCACGAAGAACCAAGCCGCAGACACAGCCAATAGCGTTCCGCAGAGGAGGCCAATGGAGCAGGAGTAGCTGACGCGGTATGTAGGGCCGAATCTCGACTGGTATATCTGGGGACCCTGTTCAAAGCTTTGTTAGAAGACAGGAGCAAGGAGTGAGGTATCGATGAGGGTTGTGCTTACTACGATGCCCATGAGCTGACAAGATGCCTGGAAGTTGATTGTGAATTAGCATTGATTACTTTAACGTCTGGTGGGTGAGAAGTTGGCTTGCTCACATTGGTCACGCCGATGGCGAGGCCTGCGCTTGTTGTTCCTTTTGCGGCTCTAATACGTTCTGTTTAATGAGTCAGGTGGTTAGCTGATGCAGGCGCAGTGGACTTTTGGCGGCGAATGACAGGCAATCCGTACCTGGCCATATTATGGCGAAGAAGCTTTGAGATGCAGCGGTTGCGACCATGACGAAGATGTACCTGACGTAAAGTCAGCCGTTAAATCATTGACTTAAGTTGGTTCAGGTTTGTACTTCGCGATGGGATGCTTGACCGTGATGAGAAGAACGTAGCAAACGATCTGAGCAGCTTCCAGACCCAGGCCAGCGACCCAGGGGCTAAGTCGCTTCGTATGGACGAAGAAGGCCAGCGTTAATAGTATGACGAAGACCAAGGTAAAAGGGGGCTATTTTAAGATTAGTACTTCTTCAACGTGCTCCGCGAATACGATAGCGAAGAAGTCGAAACTTACCATAGTCATGACTTGTGAAATAGCAGTATTTGAGATACCAAGTTCGTAAATGACAGTCGGTAGGACAAAAGAAATTCCCCATCCGCCAATGCCATGGGTAATCCAAATCATCAGGAACGGGATGAAAGTCGGATCGCGAAAAAGGTCTTTGACTTGGTGGAGGTTGATTGTTTTGGACTTCATAGTTGGTGCTTGCTCTGGGAGATCAGATAGAATGGCCTCTCTTTCCGAGTCTGTGAGAAAGTCGACGGTCTCGGGGTCTGATTAGGGTTCCATGTGAGTATGGAATAGAAATAAGAGAGTACATAGCTACAGTTACAGGAGGTTTGAATGACATCGTACTCACAATTTGGTAGAAAGAAGAATGTGTAGATACCGCAAAAGATGGCGGGGATCCCCTCAAGAATGAAGAGCTTCGTCGTGTTAGTCATTGACACCCGGGGTAGCTTTCGGAGACAAGGTGACTTACCCATCTCCAACCGGATAGACCCCCGACACCATTCATGAACGAAATTGCGTATGCTATAAATCAGTCTTAGCAATGTTGTAACTGTTGAACACCGGTTTTCTGATAACGCTCACCTAGCAGACCACTAATGGTTCCGGAAAACATCCCGCAGGCGTAAAAGAAGCCCTAGAAAAGCATGAGTTATTGCGCCCTTGTCGTCATCTTACTAGACCTCTGAACTTACAATACGAAGCGGAAGCCTATGAGTTGGGTACCAGAAGCTGAGATGATACAAAACACCAGGGTAAAACCCCGCCTCAGCCAGTCCCAAGAAGAACCGACAGGCCAGAATGCCCGCATAATTCTGAGTTGCGCCCTGGCATATCGATATGATTCCCTTTCATCGAAGCGTCAGCAAATAAACATTATTACACAGTGCATGCTGGCATCCCAACGTACCCAAGTAATCATAATCCGACTCATCCAAACCGAAGGTGAAAACCTCTTCAACGCAAGCGTGGCCAGAGGCTCGAAGAACATGTACGGATAATAGAAGATGCTCAGCGCCCACGCCCACTCTGAGCTAGAGAGGTTGCCAAGCTGCTTCTTGATGCCGGTTCCTTGTTCTAGGTTGATGATGGCTGAGTTGCTGATGTTGCTGACGTGGATTCGCATGATGAGGTAGACGAAGGAGTACCATAGCAGAAGCCTTTTGTCGACTTTGCGATGAGCTGTTTTGAGGAGAGGCTTTTCTTCGGAGGAAGAGGAGAGTGTTGTGCCCTCTGGGCTCGTTTGAGTGCCCATGATTGCGTTGACTTGTTGAGGGTTTCTGCGAAGGGTCACACTGGCGAGGTGTCGGCTTTTCGGAAGGACATGCGGCTTCTGATAGCACAGGAGGTATGAATTATACGTAGATATAAGCTTTATCCGAACCTCTGGCATACGTGACTTCTCAAGTTTCGCAACTCTTAATTACGACTTGATGCCGATTACGGCAGATAGAGAGCCAAGATATGTCTGCACGAAGCACGCCTTACTGCGGGGCCATGTGCACAGCAAGTTCGACCATGTAACGTCCTGCAATTGACAACTGAGGGGATTCTTATTGGTCATTGTCTTGTTCTGCTCGAATCCTCCAGCATCTGGCGGGACGAGGTGCCTGGATTTATCCTTACAACGTCACAATGCCACAGGTTGAGGTGGACTTAAGTTAACGGAGACCGTAGTTGCAGCGACCTGGCTAAAACTCCGAAGAGGACAACAATATTGCTTGCATTCCCTTCCCTTCCAAGATCGGGCAAGGCCTGACTCCCCGAAGATAAGCCCGGAAGAATTGACAAAAGTATGAAAGCGAGACAAAATTTCCAGACCTTGGCTCAAGAAAACCGCGATTCTACGGACGCTACATGATCATCGGGACCCGACAGCCCCGAGTTAACAGAGGAATATGTTTAGATTTTCATCTATCAATCATACAAGACGATGGAAATGAAAAGGCTCGGAAATATACCGAAGATAACACCAACTTACAGTGGCATTTATGCTTAGAGAGGAACACCTTAGCCGGTGATTGGACACATGCTACCAGCACCACCTTCAGGATGCGGCTCGTCATCCCGGTCGAGATGGCGTGCTCGAATTCCGGCGATCTCACTCCGACACGGCACAACGGGAGTGGCGCGCGGCGCGCGGGGGCAAGACACAAACGGCTTGACATCAGATGGAGGGGTATTTATGGAAAGACAATTATGACCTCACACGAATTGACTTTCAACCTACGGACTGGAACCTCGCTCCAATTCGAGATACAACTACAATCCGTCGACCAAGATGCCTTCAGCCATATCTCTGGAGCCGGCCTCCCTGCCAAAATGGCAGCGGCCTGCAAAGACAAAGCATGAGCTACCCTGGGCAGATATTGCTGTGATTGACATTAGCAAGTTCGACCGGCCAGGCGGGAAGAGGCAGCTTGCCGAAGAACTTCGACAAGCCGTAAGGGTATTCAAGTCTTGAAGTTAGACAGGAATCTTACAAGTTTGTTAGGTACACGAGACTGGCTTCTTCAGTCTCATGAACACAGGCTTCACGCCTGAGGAAGTGCAGCGCCAGTATGATATTGGTCAAGGCTTCTTCAACCTCGATGTCGAGGATAAGGCCAGGCCGGAGAACACATGCGACTTTTCCAAGGGGAACTACTTTGGGTATAGATCGGTGAGTCTATCTGGGGTTGAATATCCTCTCAAAGGGTCAACAACTCATGCAGTAATCAGGCACACGACAAGAAGATGCAAGGAACCGATGTGCTTAACAACGTCGAGTCGGTAAACATTGCCAAATTCATCCCAAACTACAAAGACGAGCCATTCCACCCATTCTTTGAGCCATTCAAACAAGAAATCGAAGACTTCTCAAGAGTGCGTACACCATCTACACAAATTTCCCTTTTCATAAAGCCAGCCTCTCACTTTCACTCGCACATATCTAACGCCCCAGAAGCGCTCTCTCGACCTAGCAAGCAAAATCTTCACCCTCTTCTCCATCATCCTCGAACTCCCAGAAGATTACTTCTCCTCCCGCCACGCCTACGCCTCCCCGAGCGAAGACCACCTCCGCTACATGGGCTACCACCCCCGCCCCCTCGCCGACGACCTCAAAGTCGGCAACACCTGGTCGCGCGCGCACACCGACTTTGGCTCCCTCACTCTCCTCTGGAGCCAGGACGTCGCGGGACTCCAGATCAAGACCTCTTCTCCGTCAGCTCCCAATGGCCCGGGCGAGTGGCGCTATGTTCCCCCTGTGGACGGCGGCATCGTCTGCAACGTCGGCGACACGCTTGATTTCTGGTCCGCGGGGTACTTGAAGTCGACGACGCATCGCGTTGTGAGGCCACCTGAGGACCAGGCGCATTTGTTCCGGCAGGGTCTGTTTTACTTTGTGAGACCTGGTGATGATGTTGATATCAAGCCTGCGCCGTCGCCGCTGCTCAAGAGGCTTGGGCTTGTTGGGGATGATGCGGAGGAGGCTGCGCCGGTGAGGGGATTGCAGTATGTCAGGGAGCGTGTGAGGGATTATCATGATCATAACGATTACGCGGACATGAAGGGCAAGAAGTTTCGGGTGGGCAATCTTGAGATTGAAGACGAGGCGGAGTGAACACAAATGAGTAACAGCATGTGAGTGAAGTTGAAAATTGTATAATGTCTATTTAGGTATCGTTGGTATCGCTGTCGCGAAAAAAAAAATCAAAATGCTTTTGGGGAGATGTATGTTCCACATCCATTATTTACTGGTCGTACTCGCCGGCATACAGGATGTCGGTGGGCTGACCGTTCGCGACGTCCCAGATGGAACGCTCCTCGAGGTCCAACTCTCTCCTCAGAGCAGTGACATTAATACCGGTCTCCTTGGCCTGGTCCTCCTTTGCAAGCTTGACGTGTAGGAAGACAGCAGTCCTCTTGCCCGTGTACAGAGCGTGGGGGACGTTGGTGCTGTTGTCCGAGTTGGCATCGCCAATGGCGTAGATGCCGGCCACGTTGGTCGCGTACCCCTTGCTCACATCAGCAGCCAGACGGCCGCCCCAGAGCTGCACGCCGGCCTCGGCACCGATGGTGCTGCGCTGCTCGTCGGGGTAGCTGAGGAAGAATGCGGCACGCTCGACGGGCTCGCCCTCGCTGAAGCTGACGGAGAAGAGGTCCTCCTCGGGCGCGGTGGGGAGGGAGGGGTCGTGGGGCGGGTTGCCGCCGTCCTTGAGGCGGGTGATGGCCGTGATGGTGCGGTTGTCGATGGTGACGTTGTGAAGATCGAGGTACTCTTGGAACTTGGGGTTCTTGGCCTCCGTCTCGGCGCGGGCGGCGGGGGTGTCAGTGCCGTTTGCGAACGCGATGATGTCCGTGTTGAGGGTGAGGATCTCGCGGACGAGGGAAGGGAGGTCGTCAAAGGTTGAGGCGAGGAGGCCGAGGGCTTGGTCTGCGTGCTCATGGCCGTCGCACCAGGGGCACTAGAACGAAGATGTTAGAATCGAAACTTGATGAGAGATGGACGGATGTTGGTGGTGACGTACCCAGTAGATGCCCTTGCCCCAGTTCTCCCATAGACCCGGGGTCTCGGGGAGGTCGTCTTGCAGACCGGTGGCCAGGATGATCTTGCGCGCGCGGACCGACTTGGTGGAGTTGTCGGCGTAGGTGGCGGAGACAACGAAGCCGGTGGCATCGCTGCCTCCGATCTTGGTGACGGTACCGTTGGTCAAGGTGACAGTGTCATAGTGCGAGATTTGCTGGCGAGCGGCGTAGCGGTACCATGCGGGAGTGACGCCTGGTGTTGTGTTAGAAACCATGTACAAGCACATGAAAGTCGTTTAAACGAGAATCACTCACCGTCGAAGCCGAGAACATCGTGCATGTGTCTCGTAGGCGCGTTGCGGTACTCGCCAGAGTCGATGAGGAGGGTGTTACGGCGCACACGGCCGAGGGCACTCGCGGCACTGAGACCAGACGGGCCGCCGCCGACGATGATGGCATCGTAGACCTGGGTGTCGTTGATGGGCAGGGCCGCAACGAGGCTCGATGCTGCTGAGAGCACGAGGGAGCTGAGAGTGAACTTCATGACGGGCTGAAAAGAACGACAGTGGAGAGAGAGAAAGCCTATGAACGAGAGTTAGGCTTCTTGGTATTACCGGCGAGTTCGAGCGAAACTGTAGTGACGAGACTATCAAGAAAGCTTTGACGAAGGAAGAGGGTTCTCCGCCGCTCATTATAAACAAACATGAACCCCATTCATCCTCCGCTTCTTCGCGGGGTGGGAATGATTGAGAATTCCGTGCCACAGCAGCTGAATGATGCGATGTTCCCAAGACAACTGGAATGAGGCATAGCGGCTGTCGATCCTCGTCGAAAACCAAGAGAGAGAGACGCCTTACACCGCACCGGCATGCCCGTCTGGTGTGGGGAGATACCCGGCCCGCGACATTAGCGTCAAGTAGAGTGAGTGGTGTGTGTGGGCACTGCGCGGTAGAGAAGTCGTGACGATGTTGCCCAATCAAGCATCGTCGACTTTGACGAATGTGGTAGTGCGTGCAGGAGAACCCGAATGCCCGCGTCGAGGCTCGAGGTACAGAGTCGTATCGATCTCGGTCGGCCGAGAGTGGGACTTGCTCTCTCGCCGTGGACCGTGAACGGTGGGAACAATGGGGACTGGGCAGCCTGGGCTACGCTTTAGAGTTCATCCCTATGGCACATCGGTATTACCGGGGGTTGCTTTGTTTAGGGTTATCTGGGCTTATTTGGCTGTAATAGGGAACAGGGTCGAGTCAAGACCCTGGGGATACGCGATGACGTGACGGACGTCGTTGTAACCTTTTAAAGGGGAACGGCCATGCCCTTCGATGTCGCGATAAGGACCTTGTCGGACGTTCAGGTGGCTGCGAGTCAAGAGATTGAAAATATGACAGGTCTGTTGAGAACAGCCTGACCTGAAGAGTCGTCGCCGGTGAAAAAAAGTCCAGACTGGCCGTGGATTCAACAAAAAAAACAATCAAGAAGAAAATAACTTTTGATCACGCAAACCAGTGGGCAGAAATAGCATCAAAAGATCAAGGTTTGGTAGGGAAATGAGCCCACTGAGAAATTGAGAAATCGACGAGTCAACGGACTGCCCATCACTCTCCACAGGTTTTCTCCATTATCGAAGATGCTTTGGGGTTTAGTGCGGACTCCATCGCAAACTTTGAATTGAACATCTCGACCGTGTACATAATTGTACGGTGTTTTCTCCAGTATCTCAAAGTAACAAGCTCTTAGCTAATTCCCTCACCCGTAGGGCCCCGAATGGACGAGTAAACAAGCGTCAAAGGACCGAATGCCGCTATACCCATTGCTTCGAGCTAGAAGCCATCCGGAATGCATCCTCATTTGCTCCGTACCGTGGTTCAATCTGTGGAGAGACACGACTCGAGGCCTGTGGACGAA